TATGTATATATATATATATATGTATATATATATATATATATATATATATCATATATGTATCATAGCATATATATCTTAATGCGTTTTAAATGCTTTCCACAATCTTGCAATATTCTAAACAATGTTTCTAAACTCTAAACGCTGTAAAAGAGCACAGAATGTAATTATCTCAGCCACGCCCACTTCTTCGCTCTGCACGGAGATCAGCTGATCAGCTGCAGAAGGAGGCTTCTCCCATGGATGTGGGCTGCACACAGGTGCTAAATAATTTTAAAATAATTTATTTTAAATAAAAATTTCATGCCGATCGTGCGGCTCATCCATCAATCAGCCAATTGTGTGTCATGTTTAATCTTACTTTAAAAAAACGTGATAGTACGAGTCCGCGAAAAACAAACCGCGTAGTAGCGAGGGACTACTGTATACTGATTTCTATATATTGATTTGCTGATAAAGAAAAAAAAATGTTGTTGTTTTTTGCATTATGACATTTACTGTTTCTTACCTTTAGGATAAAACCATCGAGGAGCAACTTTCGATGGGTATTCGATACTTTGATCTCCGTGTTGCCCACAAACCCAATGACTCATCCAGTGACCTCTACTTCACCCACGTCATATACACACATTTGACAGTTTTAGTGAGTTCAGGTCACTTTGATAAATGCTTCATTTCACTTCACAGCATTTACGATGTCCCTCCTGAACAGGAAACCCTGGTGTCTGTTGTCAGCTGGCTATGTTCTCACCCGAAGGAGATTGTGATCCTGGCCTGCAGTCATTTTGAGGGCATAGATGACAGATACCACGAAGCATTCATTTGTTGCTTGAAGAAGTTGTTTGGCCCGAAGCTGTGCCCCTGGAAGGTTAGCTGTCTCCTAGAGCAGGTAATGTACAGAGGAAAAAGAGAAAGTGTTGCCTTATTGTATCTCTTTCAACCTGCACAGGAACCAAACCTGAGCCTGCGGAGTCTGTGGGCATCTGGTTACCAGGTCATTCTGTCCTACGACTCCCAGATCACAGCTAGACATCCAGAACTGTGGCCTGCCATCCCTTACTGGTGGGCCAACAAGTGCACAGCACAGGATGTGATCAGTTTCCTCGACTGGCAAAAAGACATGGGACGTCCAGGTGAGATGGTCTACAGCAGGGGTGGGCAACAATGTTTTCCAGAGGTCCATATCAAGATATTTAACGCAAGCAAATGGCCAAACAGAGAAATGAAAAATACATTTTCTTTAAGACAGATAATCTTGAATACATTTTTCAGGCTTTTTTTGTTTGGCTGTAGTTAGTAGGCCTGTCACAATAACAAATTTTGCTGGGCGATTAATCGTCTCAGAAATTATTGCGATAAATGATAATATTGTTTGAAATTTGACAATAATGAGTAATTATTGTCAAATTTAAGAAGAAAATTGGGTTAATATCTGTGTGGTACCTTTTTTTGACCACTGGATGGCAGTATAAGACTGTTTAAACCGAAGGATTCATGATAGTGAGGGAGCGAGCAGCAGCGTGTCTCTTTAAGAAAAATGGGAGGGAAGCCCCTCTGATGGGCTGTCTCTCGTAGTTGTTTTTCGTTTTTCAAAATGGTGGATGCTCGGAATGTTTTGAGCTCTTTAGCATTTGTCACATAAAGCTATTAATAAAAAAAAAAAGTAAACAAGTTCTCAGCTTTTTTTTTGCAGAAAAATAGAACTTTTTACACAAAGGCACAGGTTTCAACCATGAATGTTATAGTTTCGACAAGATGGAGTTTTTTTCCCCGATGTCGGCCTGTTAGCTTAGCTCATAGCTTAGCTTCTCAGCTTAGTTGCTTTTAACGACCCAAAAACGTGATTTTTGGATCGTTAAAACAGATTTTAAAGAGAAAAGAGAAAGGGAGGAGTCAGTGAAGAGCACCGGAGCTGAGCATTTTGTCATCCAGTGTCTTCAGCAGAAAGAGAGACACGAAGAAACGATAAAGCTGATAAATGAAAATGAGGTCGATAATTTTCATTCATCATGCAATTAATTGATTTATTGTTTATCGCGACAGGACTAGTAGTTAGCATGCTTGATAAAAATATCTCCCCAATACTCTGTAGACTAATCCAAACATTTTTGATTTACACTAAACAAAAATATAAACTCTGCTCTTTTGTTTTTGCTTCCATTTTTCATGAGCTGAACTCAAAGATCTAAAACTTTTTCCATGTACACAAAAGGCCTTTTTCTTTCATTGTTCACTAATTTGTGTAAATCTGTGTTAGCACTTTTCCTTGCTGAGATAATCCATCCACCTCACAGGTGTGGCATATCAAGATGCTGATTAGACAGCATGATTATTGTACAGGTGTGTCTTAGGCTGACCACAATAAAAGGCCACTCTAAAATGTGCAGTTTTACCACACAGCACAATGCCACAGATGTTCCAGGTTAAAGGGGGCATGCAATTAGCTGAAAGAATGTAGCCCAGAGCTGTTGCCCGTGAACTGAATTTTCATTTCTCTGCCATAAGCCATCTCCAAAAGCATTCAGAGAATTTGGCAGTACATCCAACTGTCCTCACAACCGCAGATCACATGTAACCACACCAGCCCAGGACCTCCACATCCAACATTTTCACCTCCAAGATCATCTGAGACCAGCCACCCAGACAGCTGCTGCAACAATCGGTTGCATAACCAAATATTTTTTGTACAAACTGTCAGAAACTGTCTCAGTGAAGCTCATCTGCTGCTCGTCATCCTCATCGGGGTCTCCACCTGACTGCAATTTGTCATCGTAACAGACTTGAGTGGACAAATGCTCACATTCAATGGTGATATGTTGGAGGTGTTCTCTTCACGGATCAATCCTGGTTTTCACTGTACAGGGCAGATGACGGACAAATGGCATTTTGTGGGTGAGTGGTTTACTGATGTCAACATTGTGAACTGAGAGGTCCATGGTGGCGGTGGAGTTAGAGTATGGGCAGGCATACGTTATGGACAATAAACACAGTTGAATTTTATTGATGAGATTTTGTGACGAGATCCTGAGGCCCACTGCTGTGCCTTTCATCCACGACTGTCACCTCATGTTGCAGCATGCCAACTGTACGCTCCCTCAAAACGTGCAACATCTGTGGCATCATGCTGTAGGGCTGGGCGATATCTCAATGTTTTAAAAACATTGAGATAATTTCATATGCAATATAAAATGAGACTATATCGATAAAAACGATGTAGTCTTATACTCTACATATGTAGAGTTATAATTATACTTGAAAATCCACCAGTTTTTCCTCCCAGTCTGCGTCTTGACGCAGCTCCTCCTCTTTCCCTCACTGAATACAAGCCCGCCCCTCACCAGCTGCTTGCTGCAGCTGAAGACTATTTGAATTATAAAGCTGAGCTAAGATGTGCAGATATGTCTTTGTTGACTCACAGTGGGAGAGCCACTTTAAATTCCTGATAGGAATGAAAATGGCGGTAGCTGCTACAAAGGAGAGGTTTGGTGCTCAGCTGGTTTAGAGTGGCACGGTATGAAGTTGTCTTCTCATTAAAAAGTACAGAGACAAATATCCAGTCATTTATTTCATTTATTTTCTGTGTTTCTTCTGGTATTTAAACACAGCAGTAAACCAGTAAAGCACAAACAAGTTCGAACAGCAAAGGTGTGTCCATGTCAAAGGAGAAAAAAACTCAAGACATACGCAGCTCTGCACTTTACACAGTGCGGTGCGTTCACATGCATTGGAACAGCCACGGTGCATTCAAGATGATAGGAACTATGAAATTCAGAAAGAAACTAGCCGTAATCAAACAGAAACGAGCTCAGTAAACAAGCCAGCTACACAACAATGTGGATTTTCTAACAGCTTTGTTCATAAAGGTTCATAAAGGTTCATAAAGGTTCATAAAGGTTCATAAAGGTTAATAAAGGTTCATAAAGGTTCATAAAGGTTAATAAAGGTTCATAAAGGTTCATAAAGGTTCATAAAGGTTGAATGAATATACTTGATTAGAATCAGACTTTTTAAAGAGCAAGTCAGCCTTTCATTACATTTGTTCTGTATGTGTTCTGTTTAAATTTTAAGTGCACAGCGGTGTTTTTGGTTTTGTTATGGAGGAAAAAAAAATATTTTTGAGACATTTATTTTGTACCGTTACAGCTTTGTTGAGCTGTGTCACAACTGGGACACAGCTTTGACTCAAAAATATATTTTTGTTACTACTTTATGGAAAGAAAATATATATCAAGATATCCTGATGCATACTCAATAATCCAGGTAGAAAAATCTAAAAAAGTTAAATCTGGTCCTCTGGACATTCAAAAAAACAAAACAAAGCAAAACAACAAAAAAATTATAGATACGTTTCGTCTTTCATCCGAGAGACTTCCTCAGTCTGAGGAGCTGTATTCAGCTCAGTCTCTTAAATAGCACCGTCTCAGAGTGGATCAACCAGTTTTGCTGCTGACAACCAAAACCAGCTGATCACATGCTCAAGAAGGACCATCAGCCTAACAATGGATCATTAGCACCTGATGGCTGTTTACTGTTCACAGAGGGCTGAGTGATACTAGCAATCACAGCATTGTAAGAGGGGGACAGTTGAACCCGGAGGCTCCACCCCTATTTAATGATGGACGATTTCTTTTCACAAAGATGGCCTCCTTTACTCCTCTCTCAAACCATCGTTCCTCTCTGTCCAGGATGTGAACATCTTCATCCTTGAAAGAGTGACCGCTGGCCTGGAGATGAGTGTAGACCTCAGAGTCCTGGCCTGATGAAGTTGATCTTCTGTGCTGGTCCATCCTTTTGGCCAGTGGCTGTTTAGTTCCCCCGATGTAAGACTGATCACCCTCCTGACACTGAACAACAGACACAACATTACTCTGTTTGTGTCGGGGGACTGGATCTTTGGGATGAACCAGTCTTTAATGTATTTTGGGGTTTAAAAGCCACTGGGACGTTATGTTTAGAAAATAAACGTCTCAGTTTCTCTGATACTCCCTCAACATATGGAATGATCACTGGTCTGGGTTCCTCCTTTTCACCTGATGGCTGACTGGAGTCCTGTTTGGGTTTCTTCTCTGCTTTCAGGAAGGCCCAGTTAGGATATCCACATTACTCTAGAGCCTGTCTTGTGTGGGATTTCTCCTTCTGTCTGGCTCCTGAGCTAGTGGGGACGCTGTCTGCTCTGTGGTACAGAGTCCTGATGACTCCTAACTTGTGCTCCAAAGGGTGATGGGAGTCAAACTGCAAATACTGGTCTGTGTGGGTGGGTTTGCGGTACACCTCAGTTTGCAAATGTCCTCTATCAGAGACTGAGACCTGAGACTCTATATCGAGATATATATCATATATCGCCATTTATCTTAAAATATCGAGATATTCATTTTGGTCACTATTGTCCAGCCCTAATGCTGTGATAAAACTGCACATGGCCTTCTGTGGGCCTTTTATTGTGGGCAACCTAAGGTACACCTGTACAATAATCATGCTGTTAATCAACATCTTGATATGCCACATCTTTCTTCACAGATTTACACAAATTAGTGAACAATATTTGAGAGAAAAAGGCCTTTTGTGTACACAGAAAAAGTCTTAGATCTTTGAGTACAGCTCATGAAAAATGGGAGCAAAAAGAAATGTGTTTATATTTTTGTTCAGTATATTTGTCCAAGATGCTTCTTTTGGACTTCCTAATGTTTCACTGATAAAACACAGGTTTTTAAGTTTTATTTAAGTTTCCTAATGCATGCTCAATAAGCCAGGTAGATAAATGCAACAAGGTTAAGTCAGGACCTCTGGACAGATTCTTCTTTGTTGAAACGTTTCGTCTTTTATCCAAAAGACTTCTTCAGTCAGAGGACCTGACTCAACCTTGTTAGAATTATTTAAAGCTGTTTTCAATTAAGGATATTGGGGGCTGGATGAAGATTGTCCAAGGGCCACTTTTGGGCCATAGGCCATAAATTGTCCACATCTGGTCTAAAGATTGAATGTGTAATCTGACAGGGTTGGGACATTGTGTAAAATATAAATGAAAGCAGAATGCAATGATTTTTAAAACTCATAAACCCTAGTTTTGTTCACAGTAGGACATAGTAAACATATTAAATGTTTAAACTAAGAAACTGTATTACTTGTGGAGGGT